ATGTATAGTGTAAGGATACTTATTCTGGCATTGTTTATCATGGCACAAAATCTGGACAAATCTGCATTATCTATCAGTAAAGGAATGGCTTCAAAAGTCATGGTACATTAATATTATATAATATTGTGCAGCTAGTTAAAAGAATGAGCTAGATAAAAGAGTACCCATGATAGGGGCTGGCCCTGTGGCCGAGTGGTTAAGTTCGCGCGCTCCGCTGCAGGCGGCCCAGTGTTTCGTTGGTTCGAATCCTGGGTGTGGACATGGCACTGCTCATCAAACCACGCTGAGGCAGCGTCCCACATACCACAACTAGAAGAACCCACAACGAAGAACATACAACTATGTACCGGGGGCTTTGGGGAGAAAAAGGAGAAAATAAAATCTTTAAAAAAAAAAAAAAAAAAAAAGAGTATCCATGATAAACTATTGAGTAAGAAAAAGAAAGTTGCAGAAAAATATATATGGTGTGATTCATTATTTGCAAAAATCAAAGTCAAAATCTCTCTATGTACGTTTCTATAAACAATGGAAAAAGTAGAGAGAGAAACATCAACCTTTGAACATTGGTTTTTATCTAGGATTGAGATGGGGAGAGGAAAACTTATCTTTCTCTTTAGATACTTCCAAATATACTTTATATACTTCTGTGTTGTTTGAATTGTTAAAATGAATGCTTATTATCTTTTTTAAAAGTGAACAGAAAGTGAAATGAGGAAGCAGTCTTAAAATGTAAACTATTTTTAGATTTGGAGAGAAGAGAAATAAATTAATCTCCAGGAAAGAAGAGACTGGAGACTATTAAAGACAGAGTAACCCATGGAGCGGGCCCTGAGGGCATGGAGGGGATCTGTTTCAGAGGAAAGTCTCAAATGAACCCGGGCTATGATGGCTTCAAGTTTCTCCAGGGAAATGCAAATAAATAGTTCATAAAATTTAGGTTTTTGGTGTTGCAAAGGCATTTCTTTTAGGAAATCATGGTGATAAGAGATGGGAGGACTTTGTTTTTAAGTATACTGTTATTTGTCAAGATTAAAAAGTTAGTAGCCCTATGTCAGGTCCCAAAGTGTTAGAAATGTTGATGGCCCGTAAATCCCAACATCTGCAAAAAACCCAGATCCACAGCACAAGTAGAAAGCTAAGCCTAAGCAAGAGAAGAGATAGTTCTTCCCCTGTGATGGAGGAAAACAAGTGTATGTGGATATGGACAGTCACGGACAGTTGTAGACAGCCCTTGCAGGTGCAGGGAAAGATGCTGAGGAAGTTATTTCCTATAAGATTTTCCCGCAGTAAGCTCTTTTGCTGGGTTCAGGGTTGCGAGGCTCGGCAGGAGTGACTGTGAGGCTGAGACTTCAGAGGAGTGAGAAAAATGTGGATGAGGTACTGTGGAGAACGGGACACCAACCGGAGAGAAACTGAAGTCTTCAAATTTGGAATAATACTTGCCTATATTTTGTTCAGATTTGCTCTTTTATGAAGCTGTCTTTGGTCCTTTTTGTATTCTCTCCCTTCCCCCACCCAGCACTTTGTTTTTATTCCTTTTATGATATTTATATTCTTCCTTAGTTTGTTTTTGTACTTGTCTTACCTGTACCAACTAAACTGTCTCTGAGACACTGCTCATTCATCTATAACCACCTCACGGCACCTCCCAGGGAGTAGACACCCAACTGATTTTTGTTGAAATAACTTAATTCCACGTAGAAAACAATTAGATAATAATCAGTATCATCCTGATTAAAATTCTTCACAGTTGTGAAAAGAGAAATAAGCCATTGGCTTTTTTTTTTTAATTCCTGTCAACTAACTTTTCCTCATAGCACGCATTTTTCATTCCTTACAAAGATATTGTACATTTGGTCATGTTTTGCTTATAAGAGTCTTAAACTGTACATCCTTTGAATTCATACACTTCTTTTATAAAAATGCCACAGAGATCATTAAAACAAAAACTCCCACTGTAATAGATACGAAAACTGAGGACCAGAAAAATTAGGCGATTTGCTCAAAACTGCAAAGGTCTTAAGTGATAGAGCTCATATTAGAAGCATGTTTCACACTTAATCCAGGGTCTTTTTACTTTGATTCCCCTTCTTAAGTTGAATTTTATTTTGTATTCAACTCATAATAGTTAAATTAGAAATAGCATTTATCTTTGATAAAGCTATGTCAAAATCAGCACACTGACTATACTTCATTTCTAAAGATGCCACTATAGGTTTCTGTTGTTGTGTGACAGGTTTGATATTTTCAGTGCCTGGTAAAGTGCAAAACGCCAACGGGGCATTCAGTTGACGCTTGTTTTATGAGGAGTATCATTTGTGTTTTTTATGTTATAATCAAATCTAAAATGTTGACAGTGATGGTTGGTATATCAATCTTTACTCCTGCATTTTATAGTTCATCTTTTATTTATTTAAAACTCTGTATCTCTTTGTTATATTGTAAATAAAAAATATTGAAACGACAAAGAGAATAATACAGCATGATTGCAAATATAATTAGGAGGATGTTGCATGTACAGAAATATATATAGTCTTTTCCCTGGGGAGGCAAGAGACAGCCTATTACAAACCACCACCCTCTTTTCTATTTACACATGGAAGTAGAAACCACGAGCAGATTAGCAGTAAGAGCATTTTTCTCTTAAAATATGCTCATCTAATACATAGGAGGCCAACTGTAAAAAAGTGAAAAATTTATTACCTGCCAGTGAATAAATATATCAAAGATTATACTGTTTAGTTTTGCTGAAACAGTGTATTATTGTCAATTTAAAAATTACAGTTTTCTGGGGCCAGCCTTGTGGCACAGCGGTTAAGTTCGCACGTTCCACTTCGGCGGCCGGCGGTTCGGATCCGGTGCCGACACGGCACCGCTTGACAAGGCATGACGTGGCAGGCGTCCCACATATAAAGCAGGGGAAGATGGGCACGGATGTTAGCTCAGGGTCAGTCTTCCTAAGTGAAAAGAGGAGGATTGGCAGCAGATATTAGCTCAGGGCTAATCTTCCTCAGAAAAAAAAAAAATTACCGTTTTCTATTTGGCAAATGTTATCATTTGACCTTTAATTAAATTTTAAGAGAGAACGTTTTCCCAAAAACAAACCAAGAGATTTTTACATAAAATACACACAGAAGAATCTTGCACCAGAAGCTTCTATCTGAACTTACACTCCCAGAGGTCGGATTCTCTAGGGTGAAGAGGTGTGTGTGTCCCCAACAAAGCTACACTCTTATTCTGCTCATAACAGTGCTCGTCGATTCGGTTATATCATATAATTCTTTAAACAAAGTTTTCAGTGATTATCTTAATCATCCTTTCTAACAGTCTGTAAAATGTACCATTTGCTCTGGTAGTGACAGGGAAAGGCCTTTCATAAGAATTTCGTTCTTCCATCAGAAGAAAGCATTTTCTCTCCTCCAGATCATTGTTTCTTCCAATATCCCAAACACAGTAAAGCCCATCTAAACCCCAAACCTCGTATCAAAAACTATACATGGTAAAACTCCAAAGACTTCGAAATAGAAAGAGACAAGGCTGCCATTCCTACGTTCCTTCAACAATTATTTACCAAGTCATTACGGAGTGACAGGCACTGTGCCAGGAGCTGTAGTTATGAAAGTGATCAGACATTGTCCCAGTGCTCACAGCGTGATACAGACACTGAGTAGACCAAACACGATGCACAGCAGGAGGATGCCAGAAAAGCGACCTCACAGTGCGGGGAGCAGGGGACACGGCAACCAGCCCTGTCTGGGCAAGGGCGGCAGAGAGGTGGCCAGTCGGCGGGGTCTCGAGAGAGTGGGGAGGAAGGTCATCCTGGACAGGGCTCTGCGCGACCAGGAGAGAGTAGCGCGCACAGAAAGAGAGGAAGGGGACAGACGACAGGAGAAGGTGCAAGCGGCGAGGCTGGCTGCGACTGACACCTGGGTAAGCCACGGCGGCCAGGCGGCCCGGGGACAGAGCTTGAGCCCGCGGGAGCTGTCAGCAGGACAGTGGCGTGGGCGGGGGCACTGGAAGGACCACCTGGTGGAAGAGGGGTGGACACTGACAGCAGGAAGCGCAGAAAGGAACTTGAAGAAACGGTCCGGAAGAGAAACGCTGAAGTTAAAGAGTCAGTGACTTTGAAAAACAGTCTGTAAAGGTATTTCTGAGGTTAAAAAAAGAAAAAAAAAAGATTTGACGGCCCAACGGGGAAGGAATAGACAACGGCACGCATGTTTCCCACTGGAGGCTCCGACGCATTATTGATGGATGATCACATGTCACTACCCAAGCACAAAGTGGGGGTCCACAAAGTCAATCGTGATCAAGTTAATTTCTTATTGTGGGAATTAAGACATGGGGATATGCCTAGGTTCGGTGAGTCACGAGGGAAACCTCTGCCCTAGGCAGTTTGTAAACGCCCCCCCAGGAGGGAAGAAAGAGGTGGGCTTACAAGTTACGGACACTTCAGCCTCCCCGCAGGATGTAGTCAGGCGGGCAAGGCTCTGGGAGAAAACTCAGTCTAACCCCGAACAACATATTAACACTTTTCAATGTCAGATAAACATAAAGATAGGATAGCAAATGCCCGGCAAACTCCGTCACGTCCAGGTCCCCAAGAGCCTCCTTCATTGTCTTCAGCGACTTAGCCCCGCAGAGCCGCCAAAGCCGAGCGGAATCCTGCGCTCCAGGGACGGCGCATGCGCACAGCCCACAGCGAGAAAGGAGGGCGGGGCAGGGAAGATGTTTCCCAGAAGCCCGCGCCACTCTCTGCCGTACTCCCTCCCGCTCACAGGCCGCGTGACGTGACTCCGCCCGCCACGTTCCTCTGTCGCAAACGGCGGTTGGTGGGCGCCCCCGGGCGGCCCCGTTGAGCGCTGCAGCCTTGCGCGCAGGGCCAGCGCGAGCGAAAAGCGAGAGTGCGGCGGGTGCTGCCGCCGCCGTCGTCACCGTAGCGCGCCGACATGTGGCGGCGCGGCTGAGCGGAGCGGAGGGGGGAGGGGAGGCGCGGGGAGGGGAGGGAGGAGGCCAGACAAGGCGGGGGAGGGGGAGCAGCGGTGGCGCAAGCCGCGCGGAGCAGCGCAGCCCGGGTCAGCTCCCTGCTCCGCCGCCGCCTGCCGACCCGGCCGGCCGAGCCGGCGCCCCAGCGGCCCCCGGAACACCTCCAAGCGGACGAAGGAGTCCATGTTGGGGAACTTGGCGGCGGCGTGACGGGGACCTAGGGACCTGCAGTGGGGCCGCCACCGCCGCCGGAGCAAGCACGTCGCCCTCGGCCTGAGGTAAACACGGGCCGCTCCGGGGGTGAGTGGGCTCAGGCCGCTGTCGGGGCGAGGCGGGGGGTGCGGGCCGGCGCGGAGCGGAGGAGCGGGCCCGGGGCGCCGAGAGGGCCGACAAAGTTTCGGCATCCCGCGCGGCCCAGGCGGCTTCCTGCGCTTGGAGGAAAGTTGCAGCTGCCCCTCGAGGCGGGGGACCCTGCGGTGGGGAGGGCCCTGCTTCTCTCTCGCTGCCTCGCGGGGGAGGCCCGGCCCCGGCCACCGTCGCCTCTCTGTCGGCGCCCCGTCCCATTTCCTCCTTGTGGCCTACCCGCCTCCCGCCGGCCGAGCCTGTCCCCGCCCGGGCGCGGGGTCCTGGGGGGTGGGGGGCGGCCGGGAGGAGAGCGGCTCCACGACGGAGTCGCCGGCCATGCCCCCCCTCCCTGCGGTGGAAACGTGTCCTGCTGGGCTTCCGGGCGCTCCCCGACCCCCGGGGCCGCTGTACTTGGGAGACTTTGCTTTTGTCGCTGGCGTCCGAGCCCGCTCGTGAAACCAAACTTTACTGCGCCGTGACCTCGGCGGGTGCGCGAATGGGGAAGAGCCGGCGCTGCAGAGCATCCGTGTTTACCCCATGCCCTGTGTTTCGAACTACTCTGCCGTCCCCACTTTTTAAACCCGTCCCCAGGGCTGACAACAAAAGGGCTGGGAGATCTAAACTTAGTTTAATCAGTCGCCGCCCCTGCTCAGACCTGAGAATTGAGAACCATTAAAGACATTTCTTACAGATTGCTGGCGGTCTTGCGACCCACACACGTTTTGAAAAGTTGTTTTAAAAGTAAACGCCTGGTTTAAAGTAGTTGATTAAAACAGTCACAGATTCCAGTGTCGAAGTTTAAAATACCCCCAATATATTTCGGTAGTGTATTACAATGTCTACGAGTTGAGCGTTTTTTCATTCATTTTGGATTACATTTCAACTAACGTATTTACCGTACTACCAGTGAACTAAGAGATTTAAGTGAAACTGATCAAAAAAATTTTAATGCTTTGGCTAGTAAATGCTGATCTTAAATTTTCTCAATTTGGGGGTTTTCACTGAATTTTGGAAAAAGCATATTAATAGATGCATTTTCTCGTTTTAAAACAAGTTAATTGATGAATATGCTATTTAGCTCAGCAGTGGAATATTGAAGGTAAAACATTCTTGAACAACTGGTGGTTCTTGTATGTTATTAGTAATTGTATTACAATTTTGCTATGTAATGAAGTCTCTTTCCAGACCATTGCTTTCTCTTTCCTGTTTGTTTGGCAGTTGGCTTAATCGTCTCCCTTTTTTGCTATTGGTTAAGAGCTGCAGTAAAAAGTTTGTGGGACTTTTTGTTTTTGTTGTTTTAACTTACTGGACAGAAGAGATGAAATTTTAAAGTTGTCTTTGGATTTCTTTCATTTTATACTATGCCATCAAAGATAATCTGAATTTACTTTTCATTGTGTTTATGCAATATGATTTTTTTTTTAATTGGCAATTCTTATTGTAGCTGCACTTTTTACACTGTAATGTTCTTTGGTGCTTGCAAGTATGTTAATAATCATTCGATTCTACATTCGGATAATGACCTTTTTGCCTGAGAATTTGAGTACATTTTAAGATTTCATTGGGATAAGATATGGATGTTTGCTTACTCTGAGTGTATTTATGCTGTCAGGACATTCTTCAGTATGGTCAAGGGGGAAGAAGACTGTAGCAGAAAATGGAAAATTGTTCCTAAATATGCTGCCTGAAACATTCTTGGAGAATATCTTAAAGAAAACTTATTTTTTATGCTTTTAGGTGGTGGTAATGGGGCCCATGCATTAAGATTGAAACTCTTCAGGGGTCAGTCAACTCCCTCATCATCCTTTGGGCACTAACCACTGCTTAGCCAATTTTCTTGAAAAGCTATGCTGTTAATCAGCAGAGATAGGATGAATCAGTGCAGTTACATGATGATATTGATTCATCATCAATAGCATCTTTTAGTAATCAGAGTGCAATATTATACTACTCTTCGACTTAATACTGACTTTTTAGGCACATCAGTGAGAGAGTTGTAAAACCTAACTAAAGAGAGTGGCAGACATAAAAGTAATAAAAAGAGTCAGCCCTAGAATAATTTTCATTGTAAACTTCCCTTTAGCAAGCTCTGCCATCATCTGCCTTCGTCTTTTAGTGATGTAAATTGGATCTTGACTTGCCTTGCTCAGTGAAGTAAGCCTAAAACCTAAATTCTTAATTATGTCCTCTGTTCCAAGGAATAAATTAATAGGGTTGCACCTTATCTTGCATTGATGTGGTGATAAGTGTTAACAGCACTGAGTAGATCCCAGAGACTCTGTATCATTCTTTTGCTGTTTCCAACTCTTCTTTGCATTGCCATCGTCTTTTATTTTTTTTAAAGTTGTGGCTTTGTTAATTTGTAGTGCTTAGGCACATGAAAGTTCAATACAAAGTGTAAAAACAACCCCATCATCTTTCACTTGTAAAATAGCTTTCTAAAAAGTCTCCCTATGACATTTCTTTACCTATAATCTTTAACACTCAACAGCTAAAGTGATCCTGATAAAACTTATCAGGTCATGTCACTTCTTTTGTCAGATGGCTTCCCTTGTCAGTCATAGTAAAATCCATAGTTCTTATTATGGTCTACCAGGCTGAGTGTTTCGAAACTCTTCTTCCTCCCTGACTTCATTACCTCACCGCTCTTTCTCCAGCCACATTTCTACTCTGCAGCTGAGGTTTTCTCCTACTACTCTGTATAAAACAGGAGGCTCTCCTCCCACATTTCCTAACCCTTTTTAAGCCAGATTTTTCCCCATAGCATTTATCATTTTCCAACATATTGTATAATTTACTAACTTAAGTTTATTTTGTTTTTTTCTTCACGCTAATGCAAGTTCTGTGAGAAGATGGTTTATCAGTTTGTGTCACTGTTTTGTCCCCAAACACCTGAACATGCCTGACATATAATAGGTACTCAATAAATATTTAATGAATTAACATGCTTTCAGCTGGGAAACATTAAAATGTTAAAAATAGTAATTGTGGTTTGAAACTTCAGATTATGCAAGTCTCAGTCTTTTGCATGAACTGCTAAGTTACTTCTGTCCATGCGTTATTTTCAGTTCAGGGGTCCACATTTTTAAAGGAGAGTGTGACAGAATGTGACCTTGAAACTGATTTGTTAGAATATAGAAGGAACTAAGAATGCATGGCTAAGAATAGAGTGATAATACTGTTTTACTGTTTAAAATGTTATCCTTTAGAAGCCAAATTAGACTTATTTTTGCTAGTTCCATAAGGCAGAACTAAGATTGTGGTGATGTATTGAAAGGCTAGAGAGGCACAAAAGTGAACATGAGAAAATCTGTCAAGGCTTTTGCAGTAGTAGTCCAGAAGAGATGAGGATAGCTTGAATTAGAGTGAGAATTGTGGAGATGGGCAAAGTGAATGGGATTTGTGATCAATAGGCCTCACTTGATACATTGAAGGTGAGGGAGAGAGAAATTTCAAAGATGACTTTGGGTTGATGGTGGTACCAGTTAAGGACCAAAGATCTTTTGATTCTGACATATTGGTTTGAAGTACCTTTGGAGCTTTCAGGTGGAAATTTCTGTAGGCATTTAGTTATATGGTTCTAAAATTTGTAGGTGAGGTATGGGCTGGAAATAGAAAATTGGAGTCACATATAGGTAGTTGAACCTATAGATGGACTTGCATAGGGAAGGGATTATAACTTGGAAAAAAACCTCTAGAAGGGAATTGCAATGGCCTCTAAAATTAAAAAAAAAAAAAAGTTTACTGGAGGAATGTGAGCTCCCAGAGAATACTATGAAGGTCAGAGTAGTGGGTATGTGGTATTACAGAAACCAAAGGAAGAGAGTATTTCAGGGGGAGAGTAGTCAATAGGGTCATGTGTCAATGAGAGTTGAATAAGGTATGAGGAGCTAAAAGATTTTTCGTTGAACTTAACAACATGGGGCTCGTTGGCCTTTTGGACAAGCAGGATAGTAAGCTTCTTATTTTCAAACCGATGCTCTTGTAATTACCTAACTAGATCTAAAAGTACTGAGATCAAAGATTAAGAAATTATCCACCCAGGGGCCCGGCCCGGTGGTGCAGCGGTTAAGTTCGCATGTTCCATTTCTCGGCGGCCCGGGGTTCGCCGGTTCCAATCCCGGGTGCGGACATGGTGCTGCTTGGCATGCCATGCTGTGGTAGGCGTCCCGCGTATAAAGTAGACGAAGATGGGCATGGATGTTAGCTCAGGGCCAGGCTTCCTCAGCAAAAAGAGGAGGACTGGCAGTAGTTAGCTCAGGGCTAATCTTCCTCAAAAAAATAAATAAAATAAACTTGTAGGGGAAAAAAAAAAAGAAATTATCCACCCACATTACAGAAGAGACCAAATGTTTACTATGTTTTAGACAGTTTACATGAATTTTCATCTGATCTTTTCAGCAGCCTTGCACTGTTGGGTGTATTACTCCACTTTATAGAACGGTGTCTAGAGAAGTTAAGTGACTTGCTAAAAGTCAGAGCACTTGCTAAGAATCTCCACCCAAGTCCATCTGACTCTTTGGCTTTTAGTTATTCATTACATCACTTGGCCTCCCGAACTCTAGATCAGTGTTGTCTAGTAGTACTCCTTTCTATGATGGTGGAAATGTTCTGTATCTGTGCTGCCTAGTATAGTGGTTGATAGTGGTATGTGGCTGTTGAGCACTTGAAATATGGCCAGTGTAACTGAGGAATGGAATAGAGGTTACTGTATTGGACAGTGCAGATATAGATCAAAAGTCATTAAGAATCCCATAAATAATGAAGCAGAGTCTTCTCTTATAATAAAAAGAGGTGGAAACATATTCTTCGTTTGAAAAGAGTACTGTTTTGCTTATATGCTAGTTTTAGGTGCTACAAATGAATATTATAGGTAATCTTTTTCTTTCTTTCAACAATCTCAAACTTTCAGAAGGTTCCAAGTACAATACAA